TATTGAAGTCCTCAAGAGGACATATTCCTCAGTTGATGAAAAGGGCAAGACACCAGCTGTCATCGATGAAGGCATTCGTCCATTGGATGGTCAGTTCTGCAAAGTTGCATCTTATTCCACCAATGATGACTCTGCCACTCATGATTCTGCTGCAAATTCTTCCAAGAAAAATTCTCAAGCCACTGCTCCGCGTGTGATGACTGACCATGAGCTGCTTCTTAGTCTTCACCAGAAGGTGGATCGAAACCACAAATGGGTTAAGCGTCAGTTTGGCTCTATTCTTCACAACATGACTTCTACACATAATGCAATGAAGAAAAAACATTACTACCTCCATGAAGTCTTCGATCGCACCTGGGCTATTCTGCCACATCTCTATGGTGAAGAAGATCTGAAGCAAATGGGATTCAAGGAAGATTTTGACTGGTCTGCTCCTCCACCGAAGAGATTCAAGAAGGTCAAGGTTCCTCCCTTGGTCGCCAGTTCATATTCTTCATCACGCGACACGGACGAGTATTCTTCAAGCAGGCGTTAGTCCTCATTTTAACCCTTTTGGTCATTCGATGACAAAGGGGGAGAAATTTGAGTAAGTCTTCAAGCGGGTCTATCTTATATGGGCGTTTTTTTGCTAAGTTACAACTCTCGTTCTTTTGATGACTTTGCTGGATCGAGTTGTAGTCTTAAACTCTATGGTGGCCTGATAGTTTTACTATGTTCTTCTGCATGTTTATTCCTCATTAATGTTAATGCATGCATGCTGAATTACATCAGTCACCATATTTCACCATGCATTTTAAATTCTTCATATTATGTCAAATGCGTGTATGAATTACAAGATATAGGGGGAGATCTTCATGATTTTACTCTTCAAGTGTGCATTGCTTCAAAAGCAAATTCCTCACTATGCACATCTTCAGGGGGAGTTCTTCTATATCTTGCAATCAAATTCCTCAATATCAGTATTTATACTTCATATGATTATCCACATTGAAAACTTACCTATATTGTCATCAGTCACCAAAAAGGGGGAGATTGTAAGTGCATCTAGTGCCCCTTAGTAATTTTGGTGTATTGAAGACTTATAGGTTAAGAGACTGGTGCGTTTGTGAGTGTACACAGGTCTATAAGTCTATGAGAAGTTTGATATTTACAGAGAAAGTCGACCCCTAAAAATGAAGTTCTTCGACTAAAGACTTTGGATTTCTGAAGACTTTCTGAAGATTTTGAAAGTGAAGAAATTGGTGTGACCTTGAAGACTTGGAAATCATTCGAGGAACATGAAGCGTGAAGACTTTGTTTTCATAGTTTCATTTTCTCTTTCTTAAGTCATAGGAAACACCGTACTATTAAAGGGGGTCGAGGAAATACTAAGGAAAAATTTCCATGTGATGCTCAACTCAAAATCCTACACCTACCAAACCCTTCGAGTGAAGCCATTGGAAATCTCATATAGTTCAGTCAATTTCTTCAGTAACAAAGACGAAGTTCTTCTGGTTGCTGAGGAATTTGTTCTGATTGAGGAGTTAGGAATTCGCCAGTGCGGATTGCCTACATAGTGAGGAACATGATAGCCCTGAGGAATTTGAGAGTCATAATTCCGACCGTTGTTGTGCTACGCGCCGGCTGTACCAAAATATCTACCCACCTAACAGTCATATCATTGAAGGGCATTTATGTCTTATCATGTCGGGCTGCTGCCTAGGCTATAAATAGCCTCCCCCTACAACCACTAGCTGGTTGGCTACTCCGAGAGAAACTGACACTTGTCATTTGAGTGCAACCCATCCTCCGAGGACTTTGAGTGAAAATCATCAAATGAGGAAAACCCAAACCCAAACACCTTCAAACCCAAAGTGATTGAGCATCACTGAAGAGATTGATCCAGCGTGGATCCGACGCTTGTTACCTTTGAAGACTGTGATTCTTCCAGACGGTTAGGCGTCAAGGTCTAGAGCATCCAAGAGGAATTGTGGATCGCCGAGTGACCGAGTTTGTGAAGGTTTGGAAGTCACCTGAAGACTTACCACGAGTGATTGGGCGAGGTCTGTGTGACTTTAGCTCAAGGAGAATACGGTAAGGACTGTGTGTCTGGGACTGTGTGTCCTCGAGTTTAAATACTCAGCCGCTCCAACCAGATGTACAACTGAGACAGCAGTTAGAACTGGTCTACCAAATCTTTGTCTTCACCAAGCTTACTGGTTCTATATTCCTCAACTCTTTAATTTCCTCAATTCTGTTGTTGTGTGCTTGTTCATATCTGTTTGAAGACTTTGACTGAAGACTTTCTCAATTTCCTCAGTTAAATTTCTTCAGTCTGTTCGTCTTCATCTTGTGTTATCCTGTGCTTACGCTTTCTGTACTCTATGCTTGTCTTCATTTCATCATGATGACTATGCCTGTGTTCTACCATGTTTACTTTTGAGTACTTTTTCCGCTGCAAGTAGTTCTTCGCTTAGGAATTTCCTCACCCTGAAATTCCTCAGTGAAGAATTCATAAAAACCGCCTATTCACCCCCCCTCTAGTCGATATAACGCACTTTCACACGTGTGTTTTCCCACAACCAAATCGACTATACCATGTTTTCTTTAAGGTGCATATGGATTAAGATATGACTCTCTACTACCAAACTACAATTAGTATATACATCGCATGTCATTTACCAAAGGAAACTATTTTCATAGAGAACATGGATTTAGCGGGCCTCTGCACCACTTGGCGCAACGGGTCAACTAGTTTTTCTTAATGCTGCAAAACATCTCGGGCATGTAATTCATGAGCATCCTGAGAAGTTTTTACCTGATTTTAAGAAATGTGTCTATGAAGATAGGTCAGAATTTAACTTCAATAAAAAATGGTTTGAATTGTTGGATCAATACAACCTTAAGGACAATGAATGGATGAAAAAGCTGTATGAGTTGAGGGAAAAGTGGGCTGCTGTCTATCGTGACTCTTTTACAGCTGATATGAACTCGACTCAAAGGAGTGAAGGTATGAACAATGTCTTCAAGCAAAGATTTCGTAGGAGACTTGGTCTTTCAGAACTCCTTGTAGAATGTGAGAAGGTTTTTGGAAGTCTTCGTGAAAATGAGTTGGATGCAGATTTTAGTTTGCGTCGAAAGAAACCTGTTGCTTACAGTCCAAATTTTCCTTTGCTAAAGACTGCATCTGAATCATAGAAAAGGCGGATGTATTCAGAATTTGAAACAGAATTCAAAAGCCAATTTTCATTCTCTTGTAAACTATTACAAACCGACGGTCCGCTGTTGACATATATGGTTACACATATGAACAACGCACATGGAGCAAAAGGTATATTCAATACCACAGACACAACTATTTCATGTTGTTGCAGAAAGTTCGAATGCATAGGTAAATATACACAATTTATGATGCAATGTACTCTCTAATACAACTTGATGAAATATGATATCCATATATTGCAGGTATATTGTGCAAGCATGCATTCAAAGTCTTCAATATGAATGATGTTTTCATTTTGCCACCACAATATATACTAGGAAGATGGAAAAAAATATGCGAAAAGGGGATTTTATGTTGAAAAACAAGGATCCAAGGAGGAAAGTTTGAAAACACAAGCTGCACGTATCTCAAGGAACGCTACACCAGTTGCACTGAAGTGTACTCGGTCAAAACAACTTCTTGATGATTTCGAAAAAGCTATAGATAAGTTAGACTTGGAAGTAGATAACACTCTTAGCAAGATGGAGGAAAAATCCAGCGGGGTTCCGCTAGTTTCGGCTGAGTGTGCTACAAACACAATAAATGGTATAATATCATTCAGAGTTCCTCAGGTGCTGAAAGGCGCAAAGCGTAAACAGGCAACCATCTCCCTCCAAAAAAAGAAAGGGAAGAAAAAAAAAGTGCTAAAAAGAAAGGTACCGATCCTACCCATTCTAGCAAGCCTTTTTCCATTCTATACTTCTATTGTTAATCCTTTTAGTTTTCTTTCAATTCATATGTCTGACTCTGGGAGAAGATTGAAAAAATGTAGTACAGAATAGGGATGGCGGCATTGATCCGAAGGAATTGATGGTAAGCCATTTGACTCAGAGTCAGTATCCCCTTTTCATATTTGACTTGCATGTTTTATGAACAATTTCATATTCTATGATACATGATGTGAATGCTGGTAGTATTGATGTCTATGGGCGATCTTCAATCATGGCTGCACCATTGATCCAAGGCGGATATGCTATTGCCATAATGCTAGCCTTTGCAAATGATGTGTATGGGCAACCTTCAACCATGTCTGCTCCTTCTATCCAAGGCGGATTTACAAGTCTTTTACTTGGGGTTAAGCAGGATGCCACGTTGTCCTCGGCTGCTAGAAAGTTACCTTTTGATGAATAGTATTACGGGCACTCTATAAGGAGTACAATTTTTTTGATATCATTTGGTGTATCTATGAATTATAATTGATGCACTGTACTAGACTGAATTTTGTCTTCATTTAGAATGTTTTGGTATAATTTTGTACTACACTGAGTACGGGTTTTCATCATTTCTGGATTTCTGCGAGATTGCATTGATTATGCGACAGAATGTGTTAAGTGTTAAATCTTCGAGGCCGAGCACCTGCGGAAGTTTCAGATTTTCAGACCTCTGATTTGTGCCTCGGTAGTAGACCTCTGATTTGTGCGAACCTTTGCAGCCGGTGTCCACGAAATTTTCTTCCACTACAACTGATTTGTGCCTTACACATATGCAGAGGAATAATTAATGACAGTAGACATTCGCACATGTCCAGTATATAATTTTTTTTGCGGGTGACGAATTCGACTTACAAATAGCTACAGTATATCTAAATATCTACGTCCACAACTAATGGCCACTAGATCATGTTTTTCTCATTCCCCGAGCAATATATAGCAAAACGATCATGTCATCCGATTTGTTTGGAAAAGTAATGTGGTCATCATTTGGATAAATGCCCCTCTACTTTGTGGATCCTGCGAGAGATGATCCATCAATCATACTGTCACCGTGCATGCGTGTACTCAGAGCACCAAAGTTCACTTGCGATCATGTTCTGCCAGCTCCGGCAGACGCACATAAGCCTTCTGAGCGTGCGTTCCGATAACAATTGTAGCACCAGCGACATGGCCTGCGTAGATAGCGATGAGGCCAAGACTATGTCCCCGTGTGGCAGCCTTCCGAGACGCGCAGTGCTTTCCTCGTACACCGCAACCTCCAAGAGCCAGTTATTTCGATGGACCAAGCTCTTCAAGTCGATGAGCTTCTCAATGTCGCCGCTCGATGGGGTGTATGCCCAAATGTCCTTTGGAAAGTCAGTTTGCGTTAGGAGGATGCTCCGGCCATTGTCCATAAGGGCCAGTGGGATACCTCTCATGACCCTGTTGACCGCCGTGCCTGCCTCGATTATTCGGCAATGTAGATCCCACACGGTGCCTGGTCCATGTCCACGCAGTAGCCAGACATGGTACTGATGCTCATAGCTGGAGAAAAGGCACAGTCTCCCAGCGAGCTCCGTCAGACACCGCCACTTGCGCAGAACCTCATCCTGGATGCCCGGCGGTGCCGGCACGGTCGCAAAGGTCTCTTCGCAGACGGGGAAAGAGACGATGATCATCCCTATCTCTTCGTACCGGTCGCCGAGGGTCCGGTGGGCTAACCAGTACACGTGCCCTTGGGCAAAGACGCTCGGTTTGACCTGTTTCACCCAACCCGCCGGCCTTGCGGGGATCGGGCGCCAAGATTCCGTGGAGCCATCGCCGTCGTTTACCACGTAAACCTCGCACCCGACGGACGCGGGGCGGCCTTCGCCGTCGCGGCCACGGTAGTAGACGCGCACAACCTTGTGCCTCCTGGCGCGCGCGTCGTAACCGAGCCCTAGGCTCGCGTACCTCTCCATCACATCGCGGGGACGCCGGCAACCCGTCGTCCGGCCCTCCGGTATCGCCCTCTTCTGGCCGGTGGACGGGTTGCAGAGGAAGTGGATCCCCGTGGGGACATGCTCGAGGATGACGAGGCCGCGGCAATGCGTCGTGGCGAGGCTCGGGTGCATGGGGCGGTTCGAGGGGTCCTCGTCCCAGAACACCGTGATTAAGTGTGGGAAGCAGTCGCCCGTGACGGCGATCGGAACGTCCTCCTCCTCGTCGCCGTTGGAGGAGTCCTGCAGGCGGAAGATCTTAGGGCGCGCGCCGTGGATGGCGTGGTAGAGGTCGGTGAAGTCCTCCGAGGAGAGCGCTGCGGCCCAGGCGCGGGAGAGGCAGCGGCACGCGAGCACGGACTTGGCCGGCAGCCGCGCGAAGATCTCGTCCTCCATGATCTCGTCGGGGAGGACCGGGCATCGTGGCGTCGGAGCCATTGGCGGCTGTTGGAAAGGCCGTTCTGATTTTGCGTGCGAAACTGCTGGAAAGGACGCGAGGCGCAGCGCATGCACGCGATAGTTGAGAGAGACGTGCGCAGATAGATTGGTTTTGGGACCATGCAAAAAAAAAAAGATAGATTGGTTTTGGTTGGGCGATGAGGTGCATGCAGCAGACACGTTGGGGCGGGCACATCAGGAGTGTGCTTCACGGTCTCATCGATCCCACGGGAATCAGATCTGCACATGTGCCTGCTTGTTTGTTGGGATTTTCAGTTACCTACAAACTTGTCGCGTTTGTGCCAACACGTTTTCTTTAACACGAAACGTGGAAGCTGCTACACACGGATACACGCACTCCTATGAACGCACATACACATACACCGTCCACATGAGCACCTCCGAGAGACATCGCGGGAAGGCATAAAATAAGTCCAGAAAAATGTGAACATCAATGCCAACTCTCGGACTACTTTGGTGGACCGGGGATACCACCGTACTGCTAACCATCCAACCACATGTTGGTTCACTTGTGCCAACATGTTGATATGTGAAATATCAATGACGCAAAAAAGCTACAAAAAATAAATATTATGCCAAAAGTAGATGTTAAGAACAACTAAAACCAATGAAAAACAAATGTAAGAGTGCTCTCCGTTTACAATGAAAAATAAAATAAAATCTACAAAGTAGTTGACAAAATGATGTATTAAAAGGAACTTTTTTCAATCGAACTTAGCGCAACAACATCTTTTAAGAAGAAGAAAAACCATGGGCTACATATTCTTGCTGCAAGCATCCAACAAATATATCGTCCATGACCACACACAAATTAATGAAAAAAATAATGCATGATTGACGTGCGTGACTTTACTACCCCGGGTTAAAAAAAATACATGCATGAGTTGATAAGGTGTCATTGTTTGCATGGATAGATTAATGCAAAATTGTAAACTATGAGTACATGAATGACTAGTTGATGTCACTCAATTTTGACCACCTATCAATAATTGAGGTGATGTGAAAATTTTGTAACCTATGAGTACACGCATGACTTGTTGATGTCACACAATTTTGATCGGACAACTATCAGTAATTGAGGTGATGCGAAAGCGCGCATGTGCAAATATATGTAATAGATGGGGCTATTATTTAGATACAGAAGATTCTGTGACACATTAATTATATAGAGCGATACCTAGGAAAGGATTATGAGTCAACTGTTTCATGTGAGAGATTAGACGGATGACCCAAACCCTCGCTGCCGTGTGGAGCGGTGTCTCCGGTGGATCTTTCAGGATCCGGTTGGTTTTAGATTTTTGGTGGATCTGTCTGGATTCGACCGATTTTCATGGTTCGTGGAGTTCTACAAATCCTTATCGACATTTTCTTCTCCGGGGTGGCGATCTACTTCGCAGATCATGTCCGTTGGTGTCTTCTGGTATGCGTCGACAACTTCCCGGCCGTTGCTTCTACAAGCTCCTAGGTTTACACAAGTTTGCTCTGTCGAGGCGGAGGCCCAAGGTGGCATCAAGTTATGCTCACAACACACAACTGGTGGATGTCGGAGGAAGAAGACTTTAACACCCCCAAGGATATGAATGCATTTTTTGTATGGTTGTGTTTGCAGGGACATGTGATGCTTAATATACGACCTTGGGCCCTTTCGCAAACAAGAGATATAGAAGATTTGGTATGCTCTCTAATAGATAAATAATTATGGTTATACCTTCTATGATGTAAGTGGATATCCCTTAGTAATGTTTTTATGGTATCAATGTGCTTATATAGAACTTAAATCTGCTCGGGCTCAGCTTAGCTTGAAAAATGATCCACGTGTTGATCCCCCTATTCACATCCATGGCAATGGTACAAATGTTGTTCCCTTATGCTTGCTTGTCCTGGAGATATTGATTATATGTCATTTACTGTCTCACAAGCTATAAAAAAGGCTCTCTCCAAATGAAGGCCTCCTTTGGTTTATAGGAATTTTGTAGGAATTCTAAAGGACGGGAATTTTGTAGGAAATATTCCTTTGGAGATCTTTGGTTTGTAGGAATGGATTCACATTCCTATATATGATAGGAACCAATCCTTCACATTTCAAAGAAAAAACACATTAGCCTTGAACTAATGAAAAAATTCCTATCATATGCATCAAATGACATATATTTGCATATAGGAAGTGAAATGCATATCATCCCACTTCCTATGATTTTCCTATTCCTATACTATTCCCATCCTATGATCCAAATAAGGGCGAAATGTGATAATCTCTCTCTCTCTCTCTCTCTCTCTCCAAACGAAATGTAATTATCTCTCCTATTTCGTTTTCTAATAGGCCTACCACTAGAAGTCAAAAGTTGTTGATTGCTATTTATTGTCCCAAGTAGAAATGGCAAAATTAACGGGAAAGGCGTAGTAGATACAAATGTCAGACTATTTTAGAATTGTAGGGGTGGGCATGGCTTCCCACCTCACTGTTCTTGTCCATGCACATCTTTGAATTATCAGTATCCTAGGAACCATGAAACTATAGTATAACCAATCTTTATTAGGAAGCTTGACCATAGTGGTTATTCTTTTGGAAGTGAATTACCTTTGTAGGTAAATCTGTTGGTATACTGTGTGGGGCTAGATATGACACATTAGAAGTTTCCTCTATCAAACTGGGTAGCATTTCTTGCCCACATGTGGCACAAACAGAGAAAAAAGAGGTAATTGTTATTTTCATAGTTTATGGGGTGCTTATGAGGAGTACAAGTCTGATTTACTGTTTGAGTTAGCGTCCTCTTATAATTGCATTGATAACCCATATCTTGTGAGTGGATATTTTAGTATGCCTAGGCACCATAATGAGAAAAATAAGAACACCCATTTATCACATGATTTAGATCTCTTCAATTCTATTGTTCATGCTTTAAGTTTGTGGGAGATCCAATAAGAACTCTTTCCATAGTCTTTAAAAGGTAGACATAATCATCATGTCCCTTGATTGGGAAGACTGTTTTCTTATGTTCCAAGTGAAAAAACTTGTCACGGATTTATCAGGCCATAATCCACTGCTACTTGATTGCGGTGTTAAGGAATTTAATTTACTTGGTAACAAAAGTTTCAAGTTTGACATTGATTGGCTTAAACATGATAGTTTTCTCCCTTTGGCGAGGGACATTCGGTCCAATCCTATGTACGATGGTCATCCCCATTGACATTCTGAAAGGAAAACTAAAGAGATTTTTAAAATACTTCAAGTCAAGCTTAAAATATTACTTCAAAGTTTGGGGCTCTAACTTATTTGGTCACAATAAAAAAATGACTTGCAAGTGAAACAAGAGGAAGTGGAAAGTCCAAAGGAAATGGCACATTTGGAATTTGTTGCTTATAGGAGAAAATTTAGATCGTAGTGTAATTGAGTGAGTAGTATGTTGATAAGGAATTGCTCTGGATAAGAGAGCACATGAGAGGTGGATTTTACAAATGGGATCAAAATAGCTTCTTTTCCACAATGTGGGTGATGGTAGAAAAAGAAAAGCACTACACATTCCCTTGAAACCAAGGGGGAGCATCACTGAAGGTACTGACAACTTGTTGAAACATGCTACTACATACCCTCCAATCCATATTAATTGTCACAGATTTAGTACAAAGTTGTACTAAATCAACAACAATTAATATGGATCGGATGGAGTATAATATTTATGGCCCTCCTCATAGGAATTTACTGCCTATGCCTCCTGATTTCTGGGGTGCTGATGAAAAATTAAGGTGGCAGATAACCTGGACCTGACAATACCTTTCTTAGTGGAAGAATTAAAGATGCTTTACATTGTACATGAATCACGAGAGGTAAATATTGACTCCATGATCAATTACTTGTAGGCTTTCCTTGGTAGTATGCGCTAGAGGTTTTTGATTAGTGCTAGAGCCTACCCGTTACTCTACAACAAGTATCTATAGATATGCAAGCCCCTATCAAGGATTTCAAGCCAAACAATACTCTCATGACCTATGGTTGATACGTCTCCAACGTATCTATAATTTTTGATTGTTCCATGCTGTTGTATTATCATTCTTGGACGTTTTACAATCATTTATAGTCATTTTATATCATTTTTGGTACTAACCTATTGACATAGTGCCCAGTGTCAGTTGTTGTTTTCTACATGTTTTTTACATCGCAGGAAATCAATATCAAATGGAGTCCAAAAGCAGCAAAACTTCCTGAGGATTTTTTTGGGCTAGAAGACATCCAGTGGGACAAGGAAGCACCTGGGGGTGCCTCAAGGGGAGCAGCACCCACCAGGGCGCGCCAGGAGGCCCAAGCACGCCCTGGAGGGTTGTGCCCACCTCGTGTGCCCCCTGAACCGCCTCTTTGCTCTATGAATACCCCAATATTCCAGAAACCCTGGTGGAGTCGACGAAAATCAATTCCAGCCGCCGCAGAGTCTAGAACCACCAGATCCAATCTAGACACCATCACGGAGGGGTTCACCACTTCCATTGGTGCCTCTTCGATGATGCGTGAGTAGTTCTTTGTAGAACTACGGGTCTGTAGTTAGTAGCTAGATGTCTTCCCCTCTCTCTCTTGATTATCAATACAATGGTCTCTTGGAGATCCATATGATGTAAGACTTTTTGCGGTGTGTTTTTGAGTTTATGATCAGATCTGAGTTTTTATCCATGAAAGTTATTTGAGTCTTCTTTGATCTCTTATATGCATGATTTATTATAGCCTCGTATTTCTTCACGATATTTTGGTTTTCTTTGCCAACTTGATCTATTTATCTTGCAATGGGAAGAGGTGCTTTGTGATGGGTTCGATCTTGTGGTGCTTGATCCCAGTGACGGAAAGGGAAACGACACGTATGTATCGTTTCTATTAAGGATAACAAGATGGGGTCTATTTCTACATAAATAGATCTTTTCTACATCATGTCATCGTTCTTATTTCATTACTCCATTTTTCATGAACTTAATACACTAGATGCATGCTGGATAGC